AATAATTATTTTAAAATGGATACAAAAATTATCAATCTGACCAAAGAAACGAATTAAATTCGTAATAACCGGAAGTTGATTAATCAAAAAATAATTTCATCCACCCCATGTGCTAGGAAATTAAAAATCCTTTAAAATGATACCAAACACGACTAGATTATATCAAATAGTTCCCGAGATATATTTAAAATGGACAGAAAAACAATAAAAACAAATGAAGATCATTTTAAATGAAATGATCATATCTCGGGTATTTTTAAAGATAATTTAGTCGTGTTTGGACTCATTTTAAAGGATTTTCAATTTTTTATTCAATTTTATCAAAATTGATTTCAAAATATTAATTCTTTAATAAATATGTAATATAAAATAAATAAGTATAGTATATCGTATAGAAAATCGTGTATAGCATACAGTTTGATGAACAGCCACCTAATGGTGGTTTTGCAAAGAGTGACATTGCGGTTGCTCTCGGTTGTTCCGCACTTTCGCCTGGGCGTGGTCCACGGAGCGACTATGTCGCAACCAAGCGGTGCCAATTTATTTTATGTTAACGGCCCAAGCGTGGTCTAACCAAAGACCCACTCCCTCGCAAACGGTCGCTTAAAATGACCGCAACTAGTAGAGCGGTCGAAAAGAATCTCTTATCCTTAAACGGACCTGCTGTTAACTTGGGCCCAACTATTGTTAAAACGAAACGAACTTGCGTTATTTAGAGTTAACCGAATCGATGACAAAAGACGACGTCGTTAATAACGGAAAATATCTAGTGCGCTGGGCGTGATCGTCAATTGTCCTTGTGACGCAACTCCGGGCGCTACTGCGTTAGTGAAAGTGCGACTTCCAGAGCCCCGATGCCGGACCGTTATTGGTGTTATTAATAACCGAAACTGCAATTACTCGGCTGTTTTTTTATGATTGTGGTTATCTTTTTTTTGCCGCTGTTAGTCTAGAAGCGGAGAAGGTCGAAGAAGGTGCCTTTGTTAACATGAAAAAGCCACTTGTTTTCAAAGCCATCATCTCGATTCGGTAGTTCTTGTAGGACAATCCAATTCTTTTTTGACGGTACCGAGAGAGACCCCGTAGTGTGAAAGGTGTCATAACTAAGCCCCGACCATTGTCTAAGGTGTTAGTCCACCGTTGCCCAACCAGCCTCTTATAAATCCTCGGCCGCACAGCGCATAGGTGTGGCAATTGACCTCATTTTTTTTATTCAATACCGGGTCGAATCTCAACCTCCCAACATTCCTTCTTCTGGACGAAGATGTCAACTTGTAATCAAAAAAAATCGAAATCTTTACTATTATTATCAACCTCGGTAGTATCAATTTCAAGGAAACGCGAAAAGATCTCTTCTGGGGCAGCTGGGGAAGCGGCGCCGCTTCGTCGGGCAATAAGGAAGAACAAGCCGGCCGAGATTTAAGAGATTGGGCACGTGCTGCGCCCCCTCGACGCCCGAGCGGACCAAGAACGGCCCCGGAGCGTGCGCTCGCTCGCGTGCCACCGTCTGACCTACATTGTGACCTTTCACTGCCGCTCAGCTCCACGCCCGTTCCATCCGACCAACGTATATCGAATATAATAGCTTCATTTTTCTTTCAACAGATAAAGACGAAGAACTTAGAACTAAGCAAATGTCAAACTTAAAATAAAGATTGCTTAAGAATTCTTCAAGTAAATAATTCATTCATTTCATTTTGAGATCGTTTTGTTAAAGTTAAAGAAAAGTAATTTGACATATCAAATACAGCTACCTGGATTTGTTACGAAAGCTATAAGAGGTAATTTCGTAAAGATGTCCCGAGGCTAACGTTTCATCGAGCACTCGAAATGAACCAATTTGTAATAGTAGACCAGATTTTCGACGCATAATAAAAAAATTAATTTAAAACAATTTTTTCTTATTTGAACTAGACGTAGGTTGTTGATACAGAAAGTGGTGGGTAGAATTTGAAGCTTCTCCGGTTACTTGGTCGCAGCAAAGCGACGAAGTAACAGCAGGTCCGATCCGAAAAGAAAAATCTAAACTTTCACTATGGACACAAGTGGCCATTGATCGGTGTGTGTTGCTCTCTTATACAATCGTCGGGCCGTTTGTTTTGCGATACTTCTAAAAAGAGGCCCGCACGTTTATAGAAAGCGGCCCTCCGGAGTCCGGAGGCCGAATTCTTCCTCTTGGACGACGCTTCCAGAGGAGCGAGCGCGCCGTCGACGTCGTCGCCGCTCTATCGGCCATCTAGCGACGGACAAAGTGAGCGACTTCGGGAGCGAGCTATCGCCTGGTATGTCGTTTCGAAGTATGTAGGTGTAGCCGATACGGTTATTGAACCCTCGCCGTTGGGTTAAATGTCTCGAAAGACCCGCTTGATAACCAACAACTGGCCACTACTTGTACTGTGGCGAAAGAAATTCACTACTGCTCTCTCTAAGCGGTCTTTTAAACATTACCAACCACATTAATTTATTGTTTCAGTAGTTTCGATTTGTCAATATTAGCAATTTTAAAATCAATCTAAAAAATTTTAAATCTTATGTTTTCATTTTACATTTCAAAAAAATCATTGTTACGTTCTCACACCAAACACAAGGAGCTTTGTTATGGAGCTTTCTTTCTTAAAATTGTAAACCTTTAACTCCGATGCGCTAATTCGGGTTATGAGATAATGAAAGAATTCATGACAAGAAAATATCTACCTTGTGCTCACAATATCTAAACTCCTATCAACACTATCTATCATCTGAGAGCATTATTAACCTTTTTTTCAACTATATTAGTGTTCTGACAACAATATTTAGTCTTTTACCAACAATATCGGTCCTCTGATAACATTATCTAGCTTTTTTCCAACTATATCAGTGTTCTGACAACAATATTTAGTCTTGTACCAACAATATCGATTCTCTGACAGCATTATCTAGCTTTTTTCAAACCGTATCAATGTTCTAACAGCAATATTTAGTCTTGTACCAACAATATCGATTCTCTGACAGCATTATCTAGCTTTTTTCAAACCGTATCAATGTTCTAACAGCAATATTTAGTCTTGTACCAACAATATCAGTCCTCTGACAGCATTATCTAGCTTTTTTCAAACCGTATCAGTGTTCTGACAACAATATTTAGTCTTCTACCAATAATATCGGTCCTCTGACAGCATTATCTAGCTTTTTTCAAACTGTATCAGTGTTCTGACAAAAGTATTTAGTCTTCTACCAACAATATCGGTCCTCTAACAGTATTATATAGCTTTTTTCCAACCGTATTAGTATTCCGACAACAACATTTAGTCTTCTATCAACAATATCGGTCCTCTGATAGCATTATCTAGCTTTTTTCCAACTATATCAGTGTTCTGACAACAATATTTAGTCTTCTACCAACAATATCGGTCCTCTGATAGCATTATCTAGCTTTTTTCCAACTACATCAGTGCTCTGACAACAATATTTAGTCTTCTACCAACATTTTCATTCCAACTATTATGCTTGTTATGATTACTACAGTGTACAACAAACTATAATTTCTTTTTGTACTTTTCACTTTTTGTTTTAAATTAAAAAAATATTCTTTGAATTTATGTTTATATGTCAAATTTAATCATTTTAAAATATAGGATAATGTTTCAAGTTTCATAGCAATTTGTTGCCAACCAAAATTTTTTTTTTTGCTTATAAATTTATTTCTAAATTTGTTAAAATTAATCAACAATCGATAACAAATTTAATTTTAAGTCGATTTTACCTCGTTTATTTATATATTAATTAATTCGGAATTAAAAAAATTTTGAGGTTATGGTTACCTGTCAAATTTTTGTTGAGCAATGCTTTAAAAACTCGATTTTTTAATAAATAATAAGATACAGTACCTTTTAATACGTTGGTTGTAATTAATTCAGTTAAATCAAAAACTCTTTCAAAAGAGATATTGTTGAAAAATTCGGTGAAGAATTCGTCTTCTAATGTTTAGTTAACGTTTAGTTCAAAGCAATTTGTTACCAGCCAATTTTTTTTTACTTAAAATTCCTCTTTGGTTTTATTATTAAATTAAAAATATTTTTTACAAATTTTTTAAAATCCTTTCTCAAATTTATTATATTTTCGGACTTTTGAAGATAACCCCAAAAATAAACGTAACTTTATCTGTCAAATTGACAATTCAATTTCAAAGCAATTTGTTACCAACCTAATTTTTTTTTGTTAAGAATCCCTTTTTGATTTATTTAATTATAAACTTATTTCTAAATTTATTAAAATCAATCAATACTTAATTGATAACTTAATACTTAACTTAATTAAATTTAATTTTAAATCGATTTTTCATTATTAATTATTTAATTCGGAATTAAAAGAGTTTGTAGATAACCCCAAAAATAAACATGACTTTATTATTATGTTAAATTGACATATCAATTTTCAAATTTGTTACCAACTTAATTTATTTTTCCATTTTAATTACAAATCTTAAAATAAATTGAATTTTAATCTCGTTTCGTACATCGATTACAATAAAAAAGAATCCCCATCAAAAGATTAGACGTTAGAACGTGTGTTTTACCTGTTTTTATTAGTAATTACACGTAGATCGTAAATATTTACGATTGCGGCAACCGCAGAGAACGAGTTCGACCATCCGCAGAGAGTCGTTGTGTACGAAGAGTCGATAAAGCGTTCGATGTATGTTGCTCTGAATGGGAATTAATTTGCCAACAATAACATTTATTGATCCATTAAACCGAGCCGGAAGAAACAACAATTATTCAAAGAAAGAAAAATTAATAAATTACGATTTGTAATAAAGTTTTTATTTCGATAGTATCATATTTTTAAGGTTTTAAGTATCAATTGGATACAATTTTCGTTTACAATAATTAAAAATGTTTAATTTATTAACAATATTAGTAAATAATTAAAAGAATAAAATTAAACGTGCGTAAAATAAGAAAATTATAATTAAATTAAAACTTTGGTTTTTTTGGTTTAAAAGATTTAAATCTAATCCCTTTTTTATTAATATAAACTACGTACATTATTTTTATTTTAATTTTTAATCCTCCTACATCGGATTTCGACCCGTATCTATTTTAAACATTTTTTGAATCGAAATCCATTAAATTCGGGTTTCTTATTGCACCCAATATATACAAAAACTTAAACGTTTAAAATTAAAAAAAAAATTGTTTAAAATATTTAATTATTTATACTATGTACAAAAAAACCTTACTTCACTTTTTAATTACGTGTTAAGACGAATTAATTCAACAACAATATCCTTTTCATCACTGTTTTTTCGTTATTTCGTTGCGTACCTACAAATTTGTGTTTCCTTTTTAATTTTATTTACTTTTAAAACTTTTTATAAAGAGATTTAAGTGCCCTATAAGAAGGAAAAAGTCGGTGATTAAAAATCCGAATAAGAAGTGTAGGAACTGTTAATTTTCTCGAAATAATCTACACTAAACCGTGGATATCTCTAAATTTTGGTCGTTGTTATTAATAATCTCATCCTTTTCTTGTTTGATGTCGATTTTCGTTGAGTAATCTTCGGGGGGCGAGCTCTCCGAGTACGTTTCGGAGTCGTCATCGTCTTTCGAAACGTTTTGGTTACTCGGCGGGGTGTACAACCGGGTTTGATTGAAATGATCCATTCCAGAATACGTCACTTTTCCCATAAAACTCCGAATTTCATCGAAACACGCATCCTCGCGATCATTTTCGTTGCTACTCCCCGGCGAATCCGCAACAGCTACAGTTCCGGTCCCATCATCAGATTCGTGCTTCTTTAAATGCCGATCTAAATTGGTTTGTTGCCCAAAACAGCGATCGCATAAAGGACATTTAAACGGTTTCTCTTTATTGTGGATATTCCTCACGTGTCGTTGGAGATTACTCGAAATACTAAACGATCTCTCGCAATACCGGCATTTATAAGGTTGTTCACCTGTGTGTGTTCTTAAATGACGCGTTAAATTCGCACTTCTCGGAAAAACTTTTCCGCAGAACTTGCAAGCGTAACGATCTTTTATTTTTCCGGGGTGTACTAAAGGATTTTGAGTTGGGAGTACATCGTACGGTTTTAAATTCGGAAACGATTGGAGATTCGGTCTTAATAAGTCGTAATTTCGCTGTTGTTGTAAAGGATTAAGAAACGGGAATCTTGTGGGGGGCCCAAATGGATGGGGGTGATTTTGGAAGCTAAAATTTGGTCTGTATATATCCATAAACATCGGATGAATCGGTCTGGGGTAAACCATCGTTGGTTTATTTCGTTCAAAGTTGTCTTCTTTGATTGAGGGTTTTTCGACGTCCTCAACCTCGACGATTTCGATTTTTTCGTCTTCCTGAGCTAAATCTTCCACGTCTTCTTCTATAACGTTATTTTCATTTTTCTTTCCTAAGCTTAAATCTAGCGGTTTTTGCTCCTCGTCATCGCTACTCGAAGAACATTTCGATAACTCCTCTATCCTCAACAACTTTTCGTTATTAACCTTCGAAATTTGATTCGTTTCTTCGTCTTCGGATCCACTCGCAATTTTGGACCCCCCACTAAAAAACCCGCACAATCCTGGCCTAACCGGCGAAGGCCCCAAATGGGCCTCCTCCCCCGTTGATGGGCTAATCTTAGCTAAACCAGGTGGGGTATTCGGCGAGATCCTCTCAGGGCTTGATAATCTCGAAATTTTTTTCAAAACGGGGGGAGTTACCTCCATTTTCCTTTTTCTCCCCAACAAAGAATCTTGGAAATTCGCCTCATCGTTATTTAAATTCGATTCATTAACAACTTTAGCGGTACTCATTTGATTAAAAAGTGGGGGTGTTATAAAACTGGATTGGAGGTTTCCGGGGGGAAATAATAAATGAACGGGGGAAAAATGGGGAGCGAAAAACGGGAGGTGATACCCCGGGGGTCTATGCATCGAAAAATGGTTATTATTTCCAATCGGGTTCATTTGGAGTTGATTCGGTGTTGTGATTTGACTCGGAGTTGTTGAGTCGCAAAATCGTTTATGTTTCGTTAATGAAGTGACCGTTGAGAATGTTTGTCCACACTTTCCGCATTTAATCTGCATCCGACAATCGGCGTGCATCCGTTTGTGGCGGCACAAATTTGAGAATTGTGTGTACGCCTAAAAATGAAAAAAAAAAGATTTAATTACAAATTCCGAAATATCGAAAATTTCTTAATACTCACTTTAAAGCATACTTCGCATTGAAATGGTTTCACAGACGAATGAATATGGGTGTGCTGCTTCAATCCTGAAGAGGTGGCGAATGTTTTACCGCAATCTGGACACGCGTGGCTTCTCGCACCCACGTGGTGGGTCCTGATATGCCTCTGCAAGTTACTCGGGTCAGTAAACACCTGCAACACCAAGTCATTGTCAACCAAAAGTCTCATCTTTTTCTTTGGATTCACAAAGACTCTCATTAATCGATAAACTTACCTTTGTACAATTTTCGCAGTGATATTTCCGGTGCTCGCCGTGAACGACGGAACGATGTTTTATTAAATTTGGTCGAAATGAGTAAGCTTTTGGGCACAGCTCGCAACGATAATCGTCTTTTCTGTAGTTGTGTTTCGTTATTAAGTGATCATCTAATCTAAAAAGAAAAAAAATTGAGATTTAAAAACTAAAATTAAAAAAAAAAAAGATTTTTGGTGCTTTTTAAGTGTTTAAAAAACACCAGGAAATAGAAAAAGTTGATTGGTGAGTGTCAAAATGGCCCAAATTGATTAAAATCATCTCGAGAATACTTAATAAGCATGAAAGGATTAAGAAAAATTATTTTGACATTTTTTGGAAATGTTTCAAAGATACTATAAAATCGAAAAAGTTGATTGGTGTGCGTTAAAATGGCTCAAACTGATTGGTAATGCATAGAGGTAACTTGACATAACCCTAAGGAGATACAAAAATTAATGATGGTACTTTCCAGATGATTCAAATATTTTTGAATATGGAATTTGTCAATTAGTGTGTGTCAAAATGGCTCTAACTGACTTAAATCATCTCCAGTATACTTAATAAGAATGAAAGGATAAAAACAATTAATTTTAATGTTTTTTGAAAGTGTTTCAAAGATACCAGAAAATAGAAAAAATTGATTGGTGCGAGTCAAAATGGTTCTAATCGATAACTAACAACTCTAGGATGTTTTCCGAGCATAAAAGAACTAAAAAAAATGATTTTGATGTTTTCACAAATGTTTCAAATATGCCAAGAAATAGAAGAAATTGATTAGCCCATGATACGATATAAGCCGAGGTTGCTTGCGGCCGAGGCAGTGGTTTATTGGACAACACTTATTATTACTGACGTTTATCATTGCATGGAGGAGGTATAATTTTATCTGATTAAGCCAAGGTTGCTTGCGGCCGATGCATTACAATTAACACCATACAGATAAAGCAGTGAGGAACATATATAGCAGCGCCACGGCCGCAGGCAACCTCGGCATAACTTTGAATAAAGAAGATATGCTTTCATCTGAATAATGTCTTCAATATGTGTTGTTCAATATACCAGTGCCTCGAGCGAAAGTGACTTCGGTTTAGGTTAGAGCACACTTTAAAACTAATACCACATCGATGCAATCATTAACAACATATCTTATCTTTGAATTAATGGCTTATCTTGAAATGAAGAAGGTGAAATTTCATCTATTTAAGCCGAGAAGCTTCAATATTCGACAACATATTTTGAAGAGCCTCGCCGGCAAGTGACCTCGGCTTAGGATAGAGTAAAGATTGAATGATTTTATTTGAAGCCATTTGTAGCCAATTCTTGATATCATCCAATGTGATCTCCTCATTACGAACTCTGTCTCTGAGCCTGATGCTCAGTATTGCTGTCTGCTTTGATCTTAGCTGGTTTGACCTCCAGGCTATATATTGTTATCAGTAGTAAGCAGGAGTTTGGTTTTCTTGGCCCATCCTGACCAAGGTAGACGTAATATTCTACAACCTCAATAATATGATTTTTGATCAAAAACTGGGGAGCGTTCGGACTACAGATCTTTTGAAGATTCATCCTTAGACCAACTTCTGTTGATTAATCTTTATGGAACTGCTCCAGCATATCCTTCAACACCTCTCGGTTGATGCTTATCAGTACGATGTCATCTCAGAAGATTTAGATAGATGCCCCTTCTTCTCCTAAGATAATTTCTTAAAGATGCTGTCCAGTGCCAAGGTAAATAATTTTGGTGATATAGTGTCTCGGCTTAAGTTGAAATCTATGATTTCGTTTGATTAAGTATTAAACTACTATTATTGTCCAAGATGGTTTGACTCAAAACACTTTGATTCTTCTGGAAACATTCCCAGTAAGTTTTTTAATTTCTTCCACTTGAATCAAACACCATAAGGACGTTTTTAATCCATATCAGACATTTTGATATACACCAATCAATTTTTTCTATTTTTTGACAATTTAAAAACATTTGCAGAAACATCAAAGTATCCTACGTTTCTTTTTTATCAAATAAAACCATTTTAATTCACACCAACCAACTTTTCCCAAAATAAAAATTTTTTGAATCAGCTCGATAACATCCCAGTTCACTTTTCTAACTTTATTTCGCTTTTATTAAACAATATAAAGATTTTTTCAATCGATTGAAGCCATTTTGACATTCACCAATCGACATTTTCTACTTTTTGACATATTAAAAACATGATCAAAAACGTTCAAATTAATTTTTTTATTCTGTTTAAGTATCCTAAAATTGCTTTGAAACGATTTAACCCATTTTGACACACACCTATCAATTTCTTTTATTTCTTGGTATCTTTAAAGCATTTGTAAAAACATCAAAATCATTTTTTTAGTTCTTTTATGGTCGGAAAGTATCCTAGAGTTGTTATTTATCGATTAGAACCAATTTGAAATTGACCAATCAATTTTTCATGTATTCGAAAATCTTTGAATCTTCTGGAAAACATTCCTAATGATTTTTCTAACTTCTCTCGTTTTTATTAAATGATATAAAAAGATTTTTAATCGATTTAAATCATCTCTATACATTATCAATCAGTTTGAGCCATTTTAACGCACACCAATCAACTTTTTCTATTCCTTGGCATCTTTAAAATTCTTTCAAAAAATATCAAAATCACTTTTATTACTTCTTTCATCTTTAGTAAGTATCCTAGAGATGGTTTTAATCATTTTAGCCATTTTGACATTCACCAATTAATTTTTTCGATTTTATGGTATCTTTGAAACATTTTCAAAATATGTCTAAATCATTTTTCTTAATCCTTTCATTCTTAATAGGTATTCCAAAGATGATTTTAATCAATTTGAGTCATTTTGACTCAACTTTTTCTATTTCCTGGTGTTTTTGAAACACTCAAAAAACATCAAAATCATTTTTTTTTTAATTTTTTTTTCTCTTTAAGTATCCTAAGGTTGTTTTTTATCAATTAGAACCATTTTGACTCACACCAACCAATATAAAACATTTTAAAAATTTTTGAACTTACTGAAAAACTGCATTAAGTCTAAATTATCGTTATTTTTTAACTTTTTAATGCTAAAACGAGGTATTTTTATCGTTTCATAAGTAATTGAGTGGAACATCCGTAACTAAAGTGATTTATGAAGGTGACAAGATATAAAATAATGGGGTATCAAGTTTTTCGCGTGTTCGAAAGTTATTAAGGTTGTGTTTGCTTTGTTAGGGGCTGTTGATTTTACGGTAATAATCCCTCTACGCGTTATTATATTATTATTCCCTTAGGAGTACAAAAAATACTTACTTATCAACATCAGCGAACGGTTGATCGCAAACGCTACATCTACTTTCGTTCTCATCTTCTTCGGCGTCCTCCCGTTCGTCTTCAACGGTTCCGGAATGTTGGGAAGCTAAAAATAGCGCACAAATCAAACAAAAAATTCACTCCAATTTAGAAATTTTAAATTACAAGTTTGTAACAATGAAATGATTCCCACGAAAAAAGTTTTCGTTAAGTCAAGAAATATTTGTAATTCTATTCAAAAACTTATGGGCGGCCTCAACGGAAACAAGAAACTTTCTTAGTTAGTACAGAGAGTTGTAATAATAAGAAATTAGTCACTAACAAGCACGATCCTAATAACAATGTGAATCTACAGGTTCACATCACCGAGTGAGACTCACCGCACCGAATACTTGGGTAAAGTTAAAAGGGGGTCTTTTTCGAGGGTAGTTATCGCGTATATCACCTGTGACCTTATTGGATGGTTTATGTTGATGTTTGTGCCCCCTACACACATTTTTTTCGTTACTAAAGAAGGTTGGTAACTTTGATTGCTCGATATCGAACTTGATTTCACCCCCTAACATAGGAAATGAGGTGACCATATCCGCAAGAGCACCTGGCTTTTGACTCTCTCCATTTGACACTTTAATTGATACCGGGGAAAAAAAAAATCACGAAATTGTTTTGCGGTTTCCTGTCTCGTGCCTAAAATCGTTAAATTTTATTTTCACTTTGAGAAAAATAAGATTATCAATCATCATTTTGGTACAATGGTTATTGCGTAAAGTTGGGCACACGCCCGGGTGATAAATAATTTTTTTTGACACCCCTTTTGGGGCGTCGTTCAAATGGTTAATGTAAAAAGGGTTATGTGACAATGGGACGAGGTAATCATAATCCCTGATGACGTGCGATAACGTTACGTATCGAAATAATTTAAGCATGGGAGAAATTTACTTTGTAGAACAAAAAAGAAATTATTTAACTGTAAAAAAAATACGCCACATCGCGTGATTCACAAACAGGTCGATTAAAATCTGACCGTTGGGTCGAAAGGTTGAGCTACACCTGACTTTGTACAAAAACATCTGTCCTGTTCCTCGTTTTGCTCGTTTTACCGAAACGGACTCATACGGCACCATATGACCCTTTAAAGTCGTTTACATACATTATCGTTTCAATAAAAAGAATTTACTTGGACAAAAAAAATATTGCGTTATCTAAATAAATATCGAAATGAAACAGCTGGGGGTTTGGTTTTAAAATGAATCTTAGGGGATTGATTTCAACCCCTTTCTCTCTATTGTGAGCGATCCCCAATCGTGTTTATCTCATTGTTCGCGTAATGATCCATACCGAATACATATGTCAAAGGCGTTTCCATTCAAAACTGATGATGACTTTATATGCTGCCTCATTTTTTTATTATTTTTTTTACGGTTGGGTTATAATAACGCGTTTAGCCGGCGATTTATCAATTCGACACCCGTGCGGCGACAGCAATAAAGTTTATAAACCGATATCTTCGTTGTCTTTAGATATAGATGAATATTAAATGCACCATTAGAAAGATTCATCTTTTCTTTGTATAAAACCCCGGTTTGAATTGTTAATTTGATCTCAAAAGTGAAAAAAAAATAAAGAACGTCGCAGTGCACTAAATCAATTCAAAATTATCAAACTATATATAAATCTTTATGACGTCATAACTTTCTTGTATGATATAGGCGAAACTCCGTGATCATATAGAACTTATAGGAAATTTCCTGCTCTATACAATGGTATATAACTTTAATAGATAGCATGGTTATCTAAGCATTTTCACCATAAAAACTGCGATAACTGTGTATAATTGGAGTATATGAATGTTTTCAGCGTCATAACTTTCTTATATGATACAAACGAAACTCCATGATCATATAGAATCTATAGGAAAATTTCCGCTCTATACAATGGTATATAACTTTAATAGATTGCATAATTACCTAAGCATTTTCCCCCCAAAAACTACGAAAACCGTGTATAATTGCAATATATGATTGTTTACAGCGTGACAACTTTCTTATATGATAAGGTCGAAACTCTATGATCATATAGAATCTATAAAAAATTTCCCGCTCTATACAATGGTATATAACTTTAGAAAATTGGATGGTTACACAAGAATTTTCCACCAAAAAACTACGAAAACCACGTATAATTGCCATATATAAATGTTTAAGGTGTCATAACTTTCTTATATGATACGGACGAAACTCGATAACCATATACACCATATAGAGAATTTTCCGCTCTATATAATGGTATATAAATTTAGTAGATCGCATGGTTACAAGAGCATTTTCTTCCCAAAAACTGTATAATTCCCGAATATACATGTTTATGACGTCATAGCTTTCTTATATGATACGGACGAAACTCGATAACCATATACAACATATAAAGAATTTTCCGCTTTATATTATGGTATATAAATTTAGTAAATCGCATGGTTACAAGAGCATTTTCTTCCCAAAAACTGCGAAAACAGCGTATAATTGCCGAATATACATGTTTATGACGTCATAGCTTTCTTATATGATACGGACGAAACTCGGTAACCATATACAACATATAAAGAATTTTCCGCTCTATATTATGGTATATAAATTTAGTAGATCGCATGGTTACAAGAGCATTTTCTTCCCAAAAACTGCGAAAACAGCGTATAATTGCCGAATATATATGTTTATGACGTCATAGCTTTCTTATATGATACGGACGAAACTCGGTAACCATATACAACATATAAAGAATTTTCCGCTCTATATTATGGTATATAAATTTAGTAGATCGTATGGTTACAAGAGCATTTTCTTCCCAAAAACTGCGAAAACAGCGTATAATTGCCGAATATATATGTTTATGACGTCATAGCTTTCTTATATGATACGGACGAAAGTCATTGTCCATATATAATTAATAGGAAATTTTCTGATCTATATAATGGTATATAACATTAATAGTTTGGATGGTTACACAAGAACTTTTCCCCAAAAAACTACGAAAACCGCGTATAATTGCCGAATATACATGTTTATGACGTCATAGCTTTCTTATATGATACGGACGAAACTCGGTAACCATATATAACATATAGAGAATTTTCCGCTCTATATAATGGTATATAACTTTAGTAGATCGCATGGTTACACGAGCATTTTCCCCCCAAAAACTGCAAAAATCAGCTATAATTACCTTATATATATGTTTACAACGTCATAACTTTCATAACGGCTACACGCGGCCTTGAAGTTTGATAATTTTAAGGTGCAACAGGTTTTTTATTGGTACATTTAATATTTCGATACCTCCAAAGACAACAAAGATATCAGCTTGTAAAGTTGGTGGAAAAACAAGGGTAAAAATTGATTCGATTCCGTTTCTTGTCACGCGTTGATGACCACCATAAGGATCTAAAAAGTCACAGGTGCGTTGTATCTTTTTAGGGTTTTATTAAAATACCATAAGGTACCGAATCACTCGAGTGAAAAGAAAAAAGAATAAAATAAAACCGTGTGAATTTCATGGAATTAAACCGTTAAATTTAATTATAACAGACACCCACCAGTTTCCCTATCAGATCTTTCATCGGCTGAAGTGGAATCTCCAAACATATCTTGAAGATTTAACGGCTCTTTCGGTTCTAAAATTAATTCTTCTCCCGGTGTTATATTAGTTGTGACTTCGTACCAAAGTTGCCCACCTTGCAAACAATGTCTAACATTACAAGAAGATTTCCCTGTTGAACTCCTTATCAATTTTAACCAATTCTGACTGTCCGAGGATCCATCTAACCATCCGCGAACTCTCGTCCCAGCGACGATCTAAAATTAAATAAAACATTATTAATTTTATATATAAAATAATTTTTTTGGTTTTAATTTAATTCCGATCTCCGCAGATGTTATTACTTAACGCTAAACCGTTCACGTTCGAAACGAATCGATCTAAATATAGATATGTTCGGCCGAGGCGTGCTCCAAATTCGCCAGGAAATTGTTAATTATTAATTGCAGAAGCAGATAAATCGCCCGTACCCTCGTTTGTCTCGTTTTGCCCGCCAGTTCTGGGTATCGAAAGTCACTCGGCTATAGTCTAATTAGCGATATCAGGTGTATCTTAAACGAGTCGCCTATGTATTGATGATGTAACGGACCCCGAACCCATGTTTCTATCTCTTAACAGGAAATTATTAAATTTATTCCATATTTTAATATATTTTAAATTAAGAAGACTGGAGTACTCTACTTTTACACTTTTTTATGTGGTTTGATTGAATGATAGACAACATTTATTACAACCACTCAAAATCATCAATATAAAGTATAATTTCTAGCTACATAATTGTTATTATTAAAATACAATATCGATTAAA